GCCCACCCCCTCCCCCCCATGCGCTAATAAATGAAAGCCCCTTAACACTCGTACAGATTGAATTCATTATTCGTAACAATCACGTAGAGCAGTTTGACTGTAAAAAAACTCAGTGCCGTATGCGCAGCTTGCATTGCCCATTGTGTTTTCTAAAATTTTGATAGGCTGATTTATTTTCGTGCAAATTTTATTGGTCAAGAAGTGCCTAGACCTTTAAGTGACCGTGTCCGTGCCCTAGTCTTGCCGTGTTTCGGGCATTTCATTGGATGGATAGTAAGTTCTCGCTTAGTCCTGGCATATGCCTGTGTCGTGCCGTGTCACGAACGTGTTCGTGCCATGAGGCTTTCACAGTCATACGAAAACGTTTCTAATGCTCGGACACTGTACCGTCAGGGTCACGGTACGACATGTCACTACCATGAATCGTTCACCTTAATACAGTGGCGTAACCAGAGATCTTGCGGGGAGGGGAGGGGGTGGGGTGCACAGGCAATGATTTGCAGAACCAAAAAAAAAAAAAGACCAAAAAAAAAAACCAGAACCAAAACGTAAGCAGAACTAAAAAAAAAAGGAGATTGAAAAAGAAAAACATTTACATGCAATTTTAAAGCAAATGGAATTGGATGATCGGACCTTAAGCTTTTATGGAGGGAGTGCACGTGCACCCCGTGCTCCCCCCCCTGGTTACGGGCCTGTAATACATGAACCCCTGGCTTGGGAGAATTGAGCAACCACTCCCTGCGGTTTCGAAGTAATTTTCCTTATTACTTGTGGTTGTACTAATCAAAAGCTGCCCTTGTTTATAATACAGGAGCTTATCTACATGTGGAATGGGTTTCAAGTACTTCGACGTCGACCTGATCTTTCTCGACATCTACTGAATCTAGTCATAACAGAACAACAGAAACTGGATCAAGATAAAGGTGAGTGGTGCCGATTCTGTTCAGTGCTGACAAAACTAGTAATAATATATAAATAACAGTAGCAAGAATAGCAGCAACAGCAACGACAGCAGCACCAACAACAGTAGCAGCTACAATAGCAACGACCTTGATAAACAACAGCAGCAGCAGTAGTATCAAAAACAGTCTTACGTCCAACAACAGCAACAGTCGCAACAAAAGCGTAAGGCCCTGCCTAAGAGCAGCATGCAGCAACATCATGCCTATTTTTAATAATTTTCTAGAACGTTCTGAAATATGAACTTATGCTTAACTTTAAGCATAAAACTTATCTAGGTCTAGAACTTTCTAGAATTTCTATCACTTGTACATTATTCTAGAATCTTCTAACGAACAAGCAACAATAACGACAGCCAAAAGTATAACTAGTTTAAAACCCTAGTTTAAAACTACTTTTTTTGGCTATTACTTTTACACCCTACTGTCTTATTAGCCATTCCGAGGTTGAGAAAAACTGGGTCGAGTTGGCATTGAAGTGCATTGTGGGACATATTTCCGAGACATCATCTATTGCGCGCGTCCCCTAAAGCAGTCCCACAATGCACTGCAATACAAACTCGGCTCGTACACGTGGCTGGAATGACCACGTAAAATGGCGGTTCCGTCCGGCTCTCCGCGCTACCTGACGCTTAAAAGGAGGGACGTAAAAGAATCACTGAGGACGTAAAAAACCCTGGCAATGACTACATCTAGTGTCTGGCCTTTACTAAGGATTTCTTAATGGGTTGATTTTTGATTGGTATGGGGATTTTACGGGGTTGGAAATTGGTGCAATAATGTACCTCGATGGGGACCCTGTGTTCTCTTGTGAGGCACCAGCCTGCGGGCAAAACTCTCCAATAAACATTGGCAATGGGCAGAATGTACTGTAAGAGTGGGCGTTTAGGAAAGGAGGGGAGTGGATCATTGGAGAAATGAAATGAGAAAGGGTGTATTTTGCGGCACTATACTTCACGCGTAAAAGCAGCTATTTCCTACATAGAAGCCTTCATAATCTTCTGGTCCTGCCATCTTTTCTATGCCTATCATGGTCAGTCCACCTATGTTTTGTTCGCCTTCGTCGTGTTCCTGTGCTTCATTCTGATGTATTTGACGCTGATGCTGTCTTTCCCTTATTAGGGTATGCACTTTCATGTTAATGTAATCTTCAACGAAATCTTTTGAGCTTCTTTCATTCAAAACCATTCCTTCATTTAATTCTTGAATAGCTTTGGCAGCCTCTGACTCAGATTCTTTCTTGAGTTCATCGATAGACGTATAGATGAAATAGATATCTATAGGGATAGATATGGCTGACATGATTCCACCCAAGAGATGTGCAGCCCGACCTGCCACTGAAAGAGTTTGAAAAGCGGCCGTCGCTAATCGAGTCCCCTGAACACCGACATTAGTTGTCAACGAAGCAGCCGTGAAGGCAGAAAAGACACTTCTTATTCCCCCAACCTTCATATTGTTGCTTAACATGAAATCGTCAAAGTTTGGTAAATCCAAGACATTTTTTAAACAGCCGTATATCTCTTCGTCCTGTCTTTCTTGGTCTTGGGAAATATATCTCTCAAAATTTCTTTCAAACAATGCGTCAAACTTGTCAAAGTCTTTGCGAAGAGACTGACTCTCCAAGATGTCATCTGCAATGTCTCCACGGATGTTCTTTAGTTGTGCTCTTGATATGACTTTCCCAGTTGCTTGTGATCCTGCGGTAAATAGGCCCCCAGTTGCTGCCATTGCTGCTCCAGCAATCATGACCGGTATTGCAATACCAGCCGTGAAAAATGAAGCTATGAATCCCCCAAGAGCTATGCCTCCTCCGATCAATGCAGCAGTCGAGCTTGAGGCTTTAGCGATGCCTACATTTCGATGAACCTTGTTCAGATTTTTGATGACATCTTCTAAATCTCGTTCTTGTATATTCTCGATAGTCCTTGCTCGAACAGCCTTCCATACATCGTAATGAGAAACTAGGACCTTTTTCATCTCTTGGATGTCGTATCGAATAACATCTGTGGTAAGGAAAGCATCATCTTAATCGCTCTCATTCATTGAAAATATTGTTGAAGATGCCCTTCATATAGTCTCCTACGCAGCCGCCATTAGTGTCGTCACGCAACGCTCACTCCCCTAAGTAGTTAGTGAGCGTTGCGTGACGACACTAATAGAGGTGGGGAGGGGCCAGCACTCTCGTTTTTCGCTGGAAAAGGAAGCCCGCTAGAGAGATATAGCATGTGAGAGTTTAAAGAGTTGCCTGCGGCGAGTACGAGTTCGAGTACCAGTTTGACCGTGCGGAGCAGTTGGTACGAGTAGGTAATTATGTTATTAATTATGTTATATTTATAAAACTAGATATGTCTTTTCGAATGAAATAAAAAATATAATATTGTGGAAGATTTAGCAGGGCTTTCACTGTGTTTTATTATTGATAAGGTCACTTTAATAAACATGCGCGAAGAATGACACAAAACAACCAAACAACAACTCCGCAACTATATGCGAAGAAAAACGTAAAAATATAGAGATTATAGGCGTCACTAGCGGACAGTTTTATGCCAATTCATAGCTAACTATGTTAACAAAGTTTTCGAAAGGTTTTGGGATTCATTTGAACTATAAAAGCAAAGATTTTACCATATCTTAAACGAGGTTTGTTTCCGAAAGTCGTACTCTACAGCAGGACGGCGACGAGGTTCCTCACAACAACAAGCGTGCGTTACAATGTCACGTATACTGAGCAGGCGCAGTAGGTACAAATTGTCAAACTCATAATCATAATATTTTGAATATTATGACATATAAAACTTACTAAATGATTCATACGATAACTTACCATTCTTAAAATTTTCATCGCGTTTTAATCTTCGAGCAACCTCTAGAGCGGAGATTCTGTCATCTGGGTTCACTTGTAAACAGGATAGCAAAAGTCCTTTCAGAGGATGATGGTCATCCATGTTTTGTAGATCGCTTTGAACTTCAAGTCAATTTTTTGAATTAGTTCTAAACATCATCAACTACATTATTAGCAGCAGCGTAGCAGCATTATCTTCATTATCACCATGAGCATTCATCAACAACAACAGCATTATCAATCATCAACGTACTTATTTACTGCATCAACTGATCATTGCCATCGCCATTTTTACCTTTACCATTAGAATGATCAACAGCAACAGCATCATCGTCACCATTAAAATCCTCATAATCGTCATTACAAGTTTCGCCTTCATCATCGACATCATCATCATTACCATCATCACCATCATTGATATCATTACCATCATCAACATCATCACCATCAACATCATCATTACCATCATCATTACCATCATCAACATCATCACCATCAACATCATCATCATTACCATCATCAACATCATCACCATTAAAATCGTCATCTCGACAGCTTCATCATTATCTTCATTGACATCATCGTCATCACCATTATCACCATCATCCTCATCATAATTGCCATCATCATCATCACCATCAACATCATCACCATCATCATCATCACCATCAACATCACCATTATCAACATCGTCACCATCAACATCACTAACATCATCGGTGCATGTTTTGCATGTATATATATCTCTCTTTCCTTTTATCTTGCTGTAAACTGGACTTCCAGAGTCACATTGGTCTATCTGTTCTACCTAGTAGAATACACTTGACCTATATCAATTGAAGCGGAAAAGAAAATAATTGCAAATTATGCAAAATGATTCAACTGATTTCTCAATTTTCTCAGTTTTTAGAGTTAACACAGTCGACAAGTCAGTTTAGTTGACAGTAAAATAAGACCTCTTAATGTTCCTGTGCAACTCGCATATAGAACAGAGTCAAAATTTGCCAATGAGAAATATGAATATTCAGACATCTCAGTGTTTGATCAACTGTAGATTTAAGTAAACAACCGAGGGCAAAATCTGTGCCTTTGAGTAATTTTCATTTTAGGTTTCAAAATAAATCCCTTTTTTTAAGGTATGAACTACGCCAGGTTTCTTTTTTTATCTACTGGCTCCAGGTAGCGACTGTTAGTTACCTGTTAGTTTCCTATAATTGTGAAACAAATGTGGTATTTTACTTTGGTATCTTCAGATATTTCTTAACCTTGTCCGCAGACACACGTTTCATCCTTTTTACATAAACGTTTCTGAGTTACTTTGCGAAAAACTTTTCTAAGCCCAGATTTTTCAGTGCTTGCATCGACTTTGTGGTGCTGTTAGAATTATCAAGGCTTAAACTGGAAACGTTTGCGTCAGAGGTTTTTTAAGGGTTTGAGTTTAAGATGTAAGACAAATTAGCTAAATAAATACTTGTCCATGTAAAACGAATTCGATATTACTTTTAAATCTACGAATTCCTAAAAAGAAGCAAAAAATGAATAAACTTAAACTATTGCGGCCTTATAAAGAAAATTGTCGCTACATCATATAAAGCCCATATCATAATTTGATAACTTACTTCACCTACTAATGAACTTATATTTTTTAGCAAGAAATTAACGCATTAGAATTTACCTTGTTGGCTGGTCAGAAGAGGTTCAGGGGGTTGTCCAATACACATTTCCAGCGATATAATCCCCAAGGAGAATACGTCGACGGCTGGGCTGAATTTATCCGCCATCCTCTGGTTGCAAATGTTTCCGTGTATCTCAGGAGCCATGTATCTGTCCTCATCTACCGTTATTTTCATCGACGCAAAAGATTTTTCAAATGTCTGAGCCAGACCCGCATCAGCAATCATTGCCCGAAGCTTCCCTGTTTCTTCAATCTTAATAAGAATGTTGTTAGGTGTGAGGTGACGATGTACGATGATAGTCCCCTGTTCTGGATCGTGTAAGAAATTTAAAGCCTTAGCAACTTGTCTAGTTATCCTTGAGATATCTTCAACGAATATCTTGGGTGCTGTATCTTCACGATTAATGAAACTAGGGAGATTATACTCCATGAACTCCGTTACACACTCCAGGCGAGATTGACCCTTTCTTGTTGTCAAGTTAACGCTGTGGAGCCTTGCGAAATAGATTTTTTCCTTTAGGGAATTTCCAAGCCTTTGATATTCTTGGCAGAAGGTATCCATTTCTTGATCCGTTGATACGACAGATATCTTCTTCACTACCACGGCATTATCCTTTACCACCTTGTGCGACGTTCCAAACGATCCTTCTCCAAGGATGCTCTTCGACTTCTGTCTGAAGCTTTTTCTAATGCTATTCATAATATTATACCTGATCAGAGTTCTTTAAGCCATTTCTTTCTTATTATTGTCCATCGATTAAATTAATATGCGTCGCATTTAAAACTTGCACAAAACCTTAGTCTCGCAACCCTGAAATGATCCTTCGGGCTACTCAAGGTGATTGGTCGCTAAGAATAACTCGAATCCAAGTAACCATGACATGACATGGAGTTTTAAACATCTGTCCCAGCGCATCCCAATGTGGAATGGCCCGGCCCAGTACGCCAAATATCCACATACTATCACTGATACTTGTGTACTGTACCTTTACTTGCAAATCGAGTTGCTCTTTACTCTTGAAAAGGAAGTATGCTTGGTCATTACTTTTAATTAAAATTTTTTAAATGTGAACAAAATGAACCAGATTTGAAAGTCTTCTTGAACTGTCCAGATTTACAAGAAAAAGAAGAATCAAAATTGTTAGTTTCTGAATCATTGTCGGAAGTCTATGCCAATCTAATCAGTCTAATGATATGACTGCAGTATTCTTGTCTCAGGATTGGCTGAACTTGGATTTCTGAGAAATGCAAGTTAAGTTGGTCTAACCTATCTATTGCCTCTCAGAAAGCCCGCAACCTGATTGGTTCTCAAACGCTTTTGCTTCAGTGAATGTGCCAAGTAATTTCTTACTGGTGGGGAAAAAAATCTTAAAACGGGCTATATTCAAAAAATAACCACGCAGAGCAACAGAAGGGCTATTTCTCAATGACCGGGTAAAATTTCGAGGCTTTATTTCACGTTTCAATGATTTTATTGAAATTTTTGATGAATCTCCATACATTTCCTTATAACAGGACACCACAGAAACCAAGCTTGGGCTATCTGTGATAGATCCTCCCCATATTTTACAATCAGCTGCAGCAAAATACGTTTACAATTGTTTTGCTCTGCGTAGTGAAAAAAAGCAACAACAACGACAAAACAAATAAAAATCAATTCTTTTATAATATTGCATAAAGATGATTAGGATTAGTAACGCATTTTATCGAAATATTAACGCATTAGTAACGCATTTTATCGAATAATAACGATGTTTGGCTAATTATCCACATCAAAAGTTTTATACAAGAACCGTATTTTCATTCATATTTGGTGTAATTTTAACTCATGTAATGTAACTCATTCAATATTTAGATAAATTATCTGTAGAAAGATATAAAATTATTGAATGAAATTCAAAATGAAAGTACTCTTACCATAATAACAAAACAGGTACACTTTTTTCGCACGTTTATCATTCTAGTTCGTTGCTCGTTTGCCGGTAATTTTAGGAATGTTATTTAGCTTTAAACTTTGTCAAAAATCTCTTGGATTTGTTTAATTGTGGAATTCAAAAAGTGCTTTTTCAAATGATTATTTTGTATCATCAAGAGAAAATGAACTGAGAGAAGGAATTCCCCCTATACACCCTTGTAACCATCATGTACCGCTACCCGGTTAGCTCAGTTGGTAAGAGCGTCGGTCTGTTGTGCGGGAGGTCGTGGTTCAAGCCTCGGCCGGACCAACACTCAGGGTCTTAAAATAACTGAGGAGAAGGTGCTGCCTTCGTAATTACATCTGCAAATGGTTAGACCTTCAAGTCTTCTCGGACAAGGACTTAAAACCGTAGGCCCTGTCTCCCAACCCTTCCTAACCTACAGTAAATGGGGGACATAAAAGAACCTGTTGAATTATAAGAGTAGGGGATTGTCTCCCGGTTCAACAGCCTATCCCAATCTGGAGGCATTAATTCTAACTTACTAACAAATCACCTATGATTGTAAGCTGCACGGCTGCTACTAGCGCCTAAATACGCAGCCCGTAAAGTCCTCCACTGGTCATGATTGTGAACACCGTTATTATATAAGAACCCCGTTATTATTATTATTATTATTATTATTATTATTATTATTATTAT